GTTACCAATCCTTCCATTCATTTTTACTGTCCACTATATTAAAAATGCATTTTTACTTTTACTTGTCTACTATACTAAATTAAGAGAAAGACAATTTTTTTTCTCAGTTTTACTCTTATCAGTTATCACTACTTATTCCTCAAATCATTTCTCAAGACTTTTAGAAATACTATCATTATTATGAGTAAAATTGTAAAATATATGCCTCATTTATTTTTTTTAATGAGAGTGCAAAATCAAAAGTGGACAATTAATGGAGTATTTCTTTTTGCCGACTTGGTGGTATCATAAATAGCATTGGTAATAGGCTAGTAATATTTTTGAAGTACGTGTAATTGATTAATGCTCACTCTGTTTTATTTATGCGTTTGAGTAGTTTAATCTAAATTATTTCGCGAAGTTCATGGATAAAACCCCAACTATAATTAAGCAGCGCTTTTTATTTTATATGCTTCAAATTGACTTTTCTATATCAAACTGTTTTAGGAATCAATATTAGTTTATCTACTTAATTATTGAAACTAGATTAAACTGCAGGCACATAAAAATGTGACATTATTGTTACATTGACGAAAAGTGGATAATCATATATATTGTTTGCTCAAAAGTTATCACATATCTTATGAGTACAAAACAATACAAATAATCACGGGAAAATCATAGCAAATCGTAATAATCCATTGGACCAAATGAAAGAAACGAAAATAAGTACTCAGAATTAGGGGGAGAAACATTAAAAGCCTTTATTGATAATATTTGTTTGGTCTGCCTCTCCATGAAGAGGTTCAGAGCCTTACAATGGTGTTTTCTCTTCCCCATAAGATAGGTATATTTTTCCCTTTTCTCTCCTGTCTATAGTAGTGAAGAAGCAGCCCCTTTCTAGGGCTTCCACTCTTAGTATTTATAGATGTGAGCTTCGTGAGCTGGCAATAAATGACCGTGGCCACGCTGAGGTTCCGTACCCGTGGGGGAATGAATGGACCGTGCCCTCGTTGATTCCATCGGACAAGAGTCGAATCCTCTTATAAATAAGTGGCCATATCACTTATTAATTATGAATTAGCTCAAGAGGAGATTAACTCCGTTAATTACCGTAAGGTCAGATTCTGACCCATACATATATCATGGAGATAACTTTTCAGATAAGGATACTACATTAAATCATAGGTTCGTCCATTCATTTTACTTTCGCTAATATATATATTATTAACTTAACGACGAATTTTATAAAGTACATTGAATTGATTGAATTTGTATTTCATGTAACAAAACATTGAAAAACTCAGCAAATCAAAATCGAAATAAACAAGTACGAATTACGAATTTGAGTAAAATTTTCTGCACCTCTGTCCCGTGACTCATATATGTATATAAGTGTTAATTTTACGTTAATTTTAGCAAATGTTACCTCCTACCCCTAAGCCACTAAATACGCTATTCAGTTACACTATTTTCTTTCTCTCTCTTCTTTGATACATGTCATTCTCTTCCCCCATTCCCTGGAAACACATGCTCAATCTAATTCACTTCTCTCGGCCGCACCACCTCTTCCCGCCTTCCTCCTCCTTCCGCCGCCACTTCTGCCATTCACCTCGGTCAAGCCTAGGGTTTACACGAGTTCTAGTAGATCAACAACAGTAGTGTTTACGTTGAAAAGGAAATATACAACAACAGTAATGTTACACGAGTTCTAGTAGATCAATTCACCCCAACTCGGTCAAGCCTAGGGTTTTCCATTCTTTAAATTTGTTCTGATGAGTTACAGGGATTTTTGGTGAAGAGAAAGAGAGAGAAAGGCGAAAGAGTTGAGGGTTTTTGCTCGACGACGGATTCACCGGAAATTAGGGTTTGTTCTTAAACAAAGACGACGGAGTTTGGGGCTGAGCAACTTGATTTTCTGTTAATATATTTCAATATATTTTCAACGTATCACGCTGTATTTTCATGTATTTCATTGTATTCATTGTTTTTTTCTTCATTGTAATTCAATGTATCTCGCTGTATTCTATGTATTTTATTGTACTCACTATCTTTTTTCATTGTATTTCAATGTATCCCGCTGTATTCTATGTATTTCATTGTATTCACTGTCTCGCTATATGCCATAAATGTATTCATATATTTTTTTAATTAATATAATTTATGTATTCAGATGTAATATATAATTTTTCTGAAGATTGCTATGTTTTTGGGGTATTTTTCGGTTGAGAATTTTTTTTTATAGCTGGAAATACAAATTTTGTATGTTATAATTGAGTTTGTTGAGTTATATTAGGAGTCTATTATGTTAATTGATTCACTTTCCGTTTAAAAACAGTGTAATCCCCTATTTCACGCCGTGAATACAGTCGAATACAATAATCTGTCCAGCTGTAATCCCATGTTTCACGCCATGAATACAGTCGAATACAACAACTGATTAGCTGGACTTCCCTGATTCACGCCTATTTTTGTTACTGTATTCATGAATACATTAGCTTAAATACATCAAATACATCTTATAACAACAGAAAAGGCATCTACATTCCGTAATATAGCAAATGGTATCTATAAATAGCTAATTACCACTAAAAGATAGTGCTTTATGAAAATTTCTCTTAATTTTATGGGAGAATTACATCCCTTGTCCTTTGGCCCAACAACCCATCAGAAAACGGCCCATGTTTGAAGCCCTTACTCAGTATAGCCCAGGTTGTACATAATCTGAAAATTAATTTTCACCAGTTAGCCAACCCCTTATTTCTTCGTTCCCCTTTTTTCTTCGTTCCCCTTTTTTCTTCGTTCTTCTTCTCCTTCCCATATCAGCCTTTGCACCACAAAATTTCTCTACTATTGTTATTCTCCTTCAATTCTTTTCCGGATTTCAATGGTTAAATAAGGATTTGAAAAATAAAAGTCACCATTACAAGTGGTACGAAGATTCGATTTCAGAAATTGAGTTTTCCGATTTGTTAGTTGTTTGGAATGAGTGTTGTCTCAATTGATTGGAATCATCAAGATGTGTTCAAAACTTAAATTTCAAGTGTTTTGGAGTAGCTTTAGGTTATATTTGAGTTAAATTTCAGAAGATGCCCAAGGAAGAAGAAGAACACGTGAAGCTCCATTGATAGGATTCATTTGCATAATAATGTATAAATAGTATATAATAGTGTATAAACACAACTTATACACTATTATATCCAAGGTTGATGCATTATTTACAGGTATTTGGTGAATTTCTCGCATTTTCTTCTTCTTCTTCTTCTTCTTCTTCTTCTCATTCTTCTTATACACCTATATACATAGTGTATCAAGAATATTTTTACTCTGTGATTATACATCTTTATACACTTTTATATAATTATATACATACTGTACCTCTTTGTATAAAAGTGTATAAGCATTGCTGACGAAATTTTTGTACGATTTTCACTTGCAATTCTTGTATAAAACTAGTCCAAATTTCCAGCAAATAACTTCAAACTTTGTATACAACCTACTTAGACTATTTCTAATAAGTTCAAACAATACCCACTCCAAATTTCTCACAAAATCATAATCGAAATTTAACAAGATTAGCATTAAAGGAGATGAGATTTTAGGTTTCTAGCGTCTGTTTTTGCGTTTTGCAGTTGTGATAGTTATGTATAAACCTGAAGATATACAAAATTTTAAAAAAAAAAAACAGAGAAGTATTGGTTATGGAAGAAGGCACGAATGAGTGTTGACTGGATGGGGAACTAATTTTTCTTTTCAGTTTTGTTTGCATATGATTCTTTTTCATTCATTAAATTAAATATTTATGGGTGAAAAATAAGGAGAGAGCTACAATAGGGGTAGGTAGGAATAAATGAGATTGTTATAATTAGAGGGANTTATACATCTTTATACACTTTTATACAACTATATACATAATGTACCTCTTTGTATAAAAGTGTATAACATTGTACAAAAGTGTATAAGCATCTCTGACGAAATTTTTGTACGATTTTCACTTGCAATTCTTATATAAAACTAGTCCAAATCTCCAGCAAATAACTTCAAACTTTGTATACAACCTACTTAGACTATTTCTATAAGTTCAAACAATACCCACTCCAAATTTCTCACAAAATCATAATCGAAATTTATCAAGATTAGCATTAAAGGAGATGAGATTTTAAGTTTCTCGCGTCTGTTTTTGCGTTTTGTAGTTGTGATAGGTATGTATAAACCTGAAGATATACAAAATCAAAAAAAAAATTGAAGAAGTATTGGTTATAGAAGAAGGCACGAATGAGTGTTGACTGAGTGTCTCGATCAATGGTTACACTAAAAATGGGGAACTGATTTCTGTTTGCATATGATTCTTTTTTATTAATTAAATTAAATATTTATGGGTGAAACATAAGGAGAGAGCTACAATAGGGGTAGGTAGGAATAAATGAGATTGTTATAATTAGAGGGAATGAGAAAAGAAAAGATCTTATTGATATTTGGCTACACATTTGCTAACTCATAACTGAGCTAAAATAGTGCAAGGTTAACTCATGAAGTGCATTATTCTGCTATTTTGTCTAATTTTATTACTTATAAGTGTATATAAATATTCACTTAATTGTATTTAACTAATATCTATTTTTACGTTAATTTTATTACTTAATTATGATAAATTAACGTAAGTAGGTGCATACATTTCCCTTTGTTTGTCCGTGATCCGGTTGCATTTCATAACCTTCTGCTTTAATATACTTTTTTTTTTCAACTAGTCAGAAGATAATATTGATTTCAAATTTATGGTGATAATAAAATCATTTAAAAATTAGATCAATTTTACTAAGGTGTACAATTATCCAATTTATCATTTGGGGCTATGATTGTCATCGCACATTTTATAATTAATCCAATATTTTTAGACCCAAAAAAGAACAAAAAAATAGAAGAAAGGGAATAAAAGAAGTAGAAAAGAAAAATCAGCACAACAGCAAAAGCCCTTCATTTTCGTATCTGCTGCGTGGAATTAAAAAAACAAAAGGAAAAAGAAAAAAGAAAAAACAGATCTAAAAGCTTTTCTTTCTTCCTTCTTATGTAGAGTAGTGAAAGAAAGAAACTGAAATCGGCATAGCCACCCCCAGCTTTCTCCCGTCCCTTACTCTCTCTATACTTATCATTTCTATTCTAGAGAGAGAAACAACAATAACTAAAGTTGATCAGCGTACAGAGAGAGGAAAAAAGAACAAGCAAGAAATGTAATGATTGGTTTTTTTTTGTTCTATACGATTTTGTGTAAAAACTCATAACAAGTGAAGGTCAAAGTAATCAAAATCAATGGCTGAGAACGAAGCATCATCATCAGCATCATTGTCAAGGGCTCCGATGCGGCCCACTATTACTTTACCACCGCGTGCTTCAGTGGAAAATTTGTTTATGGGCGGGCCGGGTGGTATCAGCCCGGGTCCGATGACCCTTGTTTCCAGCTTCTTCTCTGATCCGGCATCGGAGTACCCTTCCTTCTCCCAGCTCCTCGCCGGCGCTATGGCATCTCCGGCGGATTTTTCCGGTCAACGACAGGGTTTTCCCCCTCCACCAGAGACGACAGTTTCTATTTCAAAGGGAAAAGAGTCCGGTAGTGGGGATATGGATTTTGGGTTCAAGCAGAACCGGCCGTCCGGTCTGGTGATTACTCAATCGCCCATGTTTACTATACCGCCGGGATTGAGTCCGGCCGGTTTGCTGGGTTCGCCTTTGTTGTTCTCACCTGGCCAGGTAGTTACAAAAATTTTCAGTTTTTTTATTTAATGAGCATTTAATAGACTATATGACTTAGCTAAGGGTTCTAAGCCAGAATAATGAGAATTATCTGAATATTGAATCACTTGAATAGAATGGAATGAATACATGTGATTGATATTGCTGAACCAATCTCAGCAGAGACAAAAAAAGATATTAGATGATTTCTTTCTATTTGTCTATGCTTTGGTGGCAAAGTTACTTGGTACATGGCCGGGTGGGGATTAACAGTTGCCCGGTGATATAGTTGAGGTGCGTACAAGCAAACCCAAACACGAGCGGTCCTAAGAAAAAAGGAATAAAAAATATAGCTGGCCATAATTTATTTAAGAATGAGGCATAATGATTGATTGATTTGTGGATATGTTACCCTTAGCGTGGTTTGTGGATTGTGTGATTTAAGAGTTGCAGCATAATTTCGGTTATGGGGGTTTTCTAGATTCTTTGGGGTATTTAAACCCTGATTGGTCAAGCTTCTAGGAAAATATAAGTGCTTATTTTTCAAAAAAGTTGCTTATTTTGGAGAGTTCAAGTGTTTGGCCTGAATAAGTGCGCTTTTGAGTATTCGTAAAAGTTGTTTCTCTATTCTAGGGAAGAAGTTTAAAAAGTAATTTCTCCTTAGAAGAAGAAGTAAAACTGTATCAAGAACACGTTCCATGTCTAGAGGATTTGCAGATTGGTCTGATCACCAGTAGAGGGCTGCAGGTCCTTGCGAGCAGCCATAGGCGGACTTCTGCGTGAGAGAAAAGAAGGTAGAGAGAAAAACTTTACACCTAGATTTGTTGGTTTAAAAGCCAGAATGTACTAAAATATCGAAGAAGTTTCATTTCCAGTACTTTTAGAGAGGGGAAGGAACTGTCATTTGGACATTTTCTTGTTTCTCAAAGCGGAAAGCACATGGCTGTGTCAAACACCATGTCTGGTGCTCCTCTTTACAGTCCAAACTATGAGTTTACACTTGCAATGTTAGCATGCCATTTTTCTTTTGTTGTGTTACCTTTTGACCATTTTTCTTTGTCACATGCTAGGTAATGGTAACTTAAGATTTTCACTACTTTTCCTACTCCACATCTTATAACCAAGTAGTATCAATTTTACAAATCAACAGATTGTAAATTGTCTCGACCTGTTCTTATGTCCCTGGTTAGGTTGGAGTTATGCTTTAAGAGAATATTGTATTTCAGTGTATGGGGAAACTTTCTTTAATACAGGAGAAGAGCAGTCTGATTCCCTTTAGGCATTCCTTTAAGTCTGGTAGTGTGAGTTGAGGCTATTGATACTGAAGTTTGAGATAATATGTGATATGAGATTCCATATCTTTTTTTTTTGGTTGGTCCATAATATACTATATCTTCTGACAGTACATCTCATGAGGCTAAATTACTTCATTAGTTGGAAAGAACGTGTTAGAGGAGTAGCTATCCTCTTTCTCTCTTCTATTCTCGAACACCTCCCCCCCCCCCCCCCAACACACACACCACCACCACCACCCAAAAAAAAAAAAACCTTTTCTTTCTTGACTAAATCAGCAGCAGGAAAAGAACTCTGTAAATGAACTGTTGCAACATGTACGGTGATGATGCTATTGGTTTAAATTGAATTAGCCTTTTCAATGTTATTTACATATGGTTTTTGGACCATAAAGGGCCCTTTTGGAATGTCACATCAGCAAGTCCTTGCTCAAGTTACAGCTCAGGCAGCACATCCTCAGTCTCAAATGCACATTCAACCTGACTATCCGTCTTCTTCAGCAGCGCCCGCACCGTCCTTTTCACAGTTCCAGTCCCTAACCTCAAATGCCACAGCAAACCAACAGATACTGCCTCCTGCATCAGATCCTAATGTTATGAAAGAAGCATCTGAAGTCTCTCTGTCTGATCAGAGGTCAGAACCTGTTTCCTCTGCTGTTGATAAACCTGCTGATGACGGTTACAACTGGCGTAAGTATGGGCAGAAGCATGTCAAGGGAAGTGAATATCCTCGTAGTTATTACAAGTGTACACATCCAAATTGTCCAGTCAAGAAGAAGGTTGAGCGGTCTCTTGATGGCCAAGTAACTGAGATTATCTATAAGGGCCAGCACAATCATCAGCCGCCTCAATCTAGTAAACGCTCGAAAGAGAGTGGAAATCCAAATGGAAACTATAATCTTCAGGGGCCATCTGAACTCAGCTCTGAGGGTGTGGCAGGAACTCTGAACAACTCCAAGGATAGCATGCCTTCCTATTCATTAAGAATGAAGGATCAAGAATCCAGCCAAGCTACACATGACCAAGTCTCCGGATCAAGTGAGGGTGAGGAAGTGGGTGATGCTGAGACTATAGCTGATGGAAATGATGAACGTGAATCTAAGCGAAGGTAATTTACTTCATCCTTGGCACAATATTTGAAGTGAATATTTTTATAGCCTTGTCTATCTTCATAACCCACTGTTCTCCATCTCTACAACTGCACCTTGCAGGGCCATAGAAGTACAGACTTCAGAAGCAGCTTCTTCTGCTTCTCACCGGACAGTTGCAGAACCTAGGATCATTGTTCAAACAACAAGCGAAGTTGATCTTTTGGACGATGGTTATAGATGGCGGAAGTATGGCCAGAAAGTTGTAAAAGGAAACCCTTATCCAAGGTAGATTTATGGTTAAGTGAACCCTAAATAGAATATATCTGGTTATGAAGCATTATGAGTGTGAAGTTACCTTTCCTGAATCACCTGCCACTGTCAGAAAAGCTTTCTTCTGCTTGAACACATTTTTTTTTGCCATGATCATATTAGAACTCTGTTTGAAACTCATAGTCTGAATTTTGCGTGGTACAGTTGGACCATGTTGTATTTACATGCAAGAAGAAAACAAGCCAATCAGATATCTAGATGACTTCTGTGAATGCATAGCCAGATGCTTATCGGTTATTTTGCTTTGCTAACATATTCAGTATACCATATTATTTTCTGCAGAAGCTATTACAAATGTACCAGCCAGGGATGTAATGTACGGAAACATGTGGAAAGGGCCCCGAGTGATCCAAAAGCTGTCATAACAACATATGAGGGCAAACATAATCATGACGTGCCTGCAGCTAGGAACAGTAGCCACAACACCGCAAATAATTCTGTGTCGCAGATGAGGCCACACAACCCCGTAGTTGATAAACAGGATGCAACTAGAAGAACAGGCTTCTCGAACAATGAACAGCAACCTATAGAACTGCTACGGTTCAAAGAAGAACAGGTTACATGATTTTTTGAGCTTCAGTCTTGCAAGGAATGAGAGAGGAGTCCACTGAAAAACTTTTGCCAAACTTGTCTCAAGATGGATCTATTCCGTGCATTTGAAGTCATAATGTTGGTTCACTCACCCAAAGTTAAATGAAGGAAACATGGTATATAAGTTTGTTGATACCAAAAATGATAGGTGAGCAAGGAGTGGATTGAATATACATTGTCAATTTTCTCAAGAAGGGCATAGAGTAGTATATTATTTGTATTCTTTCTGTAAATGCTCTTGTATAACATGTTTTGGCTTTTTATGGCGGCACAAACATGGTTGATGATTGATATACATGGTTGCAGTTGGTGTTAACCCCTTCGATCTGATTTATCTTGCTATTTTTCAAGATTTTGTAATAATATTCTGGGAGACTTTTCTGTATTTTTAGCAATCCTGCTGGCGTAACTCTCTACCACTTTTGGAGGTGGAGTTACAACATCTTTAATCGGCTTCGCCTTTTGTCTGAATTTGACCAATGGTGCATAAAGTTGTTGGAAAATCTAATCTAGTACAATCTTTGTATCTAATATACAAATTTGAGTTTCTTGAAGTCAAAAGCTCAAATCTGGTAATATACATGTTCACTTTCCATTTCACAGCATAGTTTTTTTTTTTCTTTCTTTTGAGTTGTGGCTAAAGATTGTAGGTTTTCATCTACAACTGTACCCTAAATTCCAATCAACACAATTTTCAACAAGAGTCACAAGCTGAGGTATCTGGCCGTGATTTACAAAATCAACCTTATTCAATCGGATGCAGCACAAAACTCTGGTAGCTCCTCTGGCTTCTGCGCCTGCATTATCCAAAAACTAGTGAAATAGCTTGCGCTTCGCGCGGTGTGCGATAAGAAATATATATAATTAGTCCAAACATCTATGTTATAAGTCTCCTTTGTAGTCTAAAAATTCTTTAAAATGCTAAACAAATATATAAGGCTATATATAAAACAATAAGAGAAACCCATTACTTATCTTTTTATATAAAAGAGAAAGAGACACAAAATAGGAAAATAAACAATAAGAAGAAACACATACTTATCTTTTTATAGTTCTTGTCAACGGTTGTAGTGCAGGTAATTACTTGGTCGGCCAATCCAAAATATGTTAGAAACAAACTCTATGTATAACGTATAAAATTGTACCGAGTAAACGATATATATAAGAAGCCTGTAGAAATTAATACATATTATTCAAATAAATAAGATAAAAGAAACAGTCAGGAATTAAAAAAAAAAACGATACAATATTATAAATCTATTAAGTATATCAGTTGTATCTTTTCAGATTCCATCTTGAATGCATGCCATGTAGCACATTAGTGGAAAAATGATTGTTAAAGCGAAAAGGAAAAACATGAGAATAAAAGATAAAATATCTTTTTCTTTTTTATAGCTTTTAGTAGTATCATTCAAATGTTTTACGTCAAATAAAATGGGAAACCCGCTATTTTAATACTAATCAACAAAGTGATACCAAAACACAGTGTGTAGCCTGAGAAATTTCGTTAGTTAAATTTGAATAAATATCATGTAAAGAAACCCTCTTCTCTGTTATACATGAATAGAGCTACTCCACCGGAGTTGCAGAAAGGTTTACAGTTAAGGAAAAAACATTTTCTAAATGGATTAGGGCAATATTCCTAATCATAACAAATTCGGAGTAGAGGATAAATAAACATGTAGCATTACAATTAAATAGGTACAAAATAATTAAAGGATTAACTTTGTAAAAGCAAATCCTGAGTCTTTCAACTCCTTGAATAACTGTTTTAATTGCTGATATTGATCTCCATAAACATGTCTATATATACATATTGTTCAGACCAACCTGGTAGAAATGATGGAAAAAACAATTATACAACTTATCATTTCTTATGTTCAAATGAAATAAATAAGGGATGACAACAGCAAGTATAAGAATCAACAATACCTGGGACATGTAGATGTATGTTTGGCCAAAGAAGTGTTTCTCAAAAGATCATAGTGCCATAGTTTTCATATACTATTTTCAGGTAAGTCATAGTTTAGAGATGCCATCAGCCAGGAAAAATAAAGCAAATACTTTAAAATCACCATTTAGAACGTTTATAACTGTTCCATTTGAGCTCTTCCAACATATATTACAAGTTTTTACCCTAGCATTATGGGCATCGGTAAAAGCATCAGTTACATAATGTAATACCAACTTTACTTACAGATTTATCATTTTAAGCCACCAAAACTTTTCAGATCCTCCATGTTTGTCGGATTAAAGAAAGAAAAAAGAAACCATAAAGATCAAAGTACAATGTAGAGACACCAATACGATCGGACAGAGCAATGTAGAACCTGCAATAGCACCAAATCACAACAGATAGACCCAAAATTAAACAAATCAAACCAACATTTCAAACAAAACAATAACGTAGATAAATACTATGAAAAGTCCAATAATAACAGCAAATCGTTCTAAGCACAAAAAGACCTTTCTTTTGGAATAATTTAAAGATTGACAATCACTTCAACGAACTATGCTGTATTTGATACATTTCACACTTCAGTTTCAATATTTAGAGTAGTTGTAGAATTCTCTTAAATTGTTCCGAAAATAAATAACAAAAAATTGAGTAAAAAGAGACAGGACAATTCAGAAAGCCAAAAAAAAAAAAAATACCTGCAAAATCATAAACTCTCCTCTGATTTTTTGGGACTCCGAATCCGAATCGAAAGGTTGCTACCAGTTGCTCCAATTTGCCTTGTCGAGTTTGCCGACTTCTATTTGGGGGAGAGTAACGCGTTGAAGAAAAGATATATCCAAGGGACGGTTCTTTTATCCGGCTTTGAGGTCTAGGGATGGCAAATGGGGCGGGGCGGGGCGGGGCGGGGCGGGGGCGGGGCAGGGCAGGGCAGGGTAAAGTCTTAATGGGGCAGGGCAGGGCGGGGCGGGGCGGGGCAAAACACATTTTCAAAAAATAGTAAATGGGGCAGGGCAGGGGTAGGGCATGATTTTAGCTCAAACTCACTTGTGTGTGCTTACTTCTCTTGCTATTTTAGCCTCAACAGATTTGGTGGCTCAAAATATTCTTGTCGTTTTGTTTCCTTTTTTAAATTAAAAACTTGTTTTGTTTGCTTGCTAACATTTGTTAACTAGTAGCATAATTGCAAATATAATAGTTTTATAAAATATCAAATTGTTTATTAACGATTCTACTTTATGCTAGCGAATGATGATAAAAATTTATACATTGGTTGGAGCAAGTAATTTACAGTTGTAGTATAACTCGTGAATCTGTTGCTATAAAGAAAGTCTTACGGAATAGGAGATACAACAACAGAGAACTTCAGATTATGCGCACACTTGATTATCCTAATATTGTTAAACTAAGACATTGCATAAAAAAAAATGATGGTGTGCTTATTATTATAGTGAAAACTAATAAAACTGAATGTTGTAATTTTTAAAAAAAAAAAAATAAGAAGGAAAATTAATGGAAGTGATGCTTCGTCATGCAATTTTACAGTTCACTAACTTAAGAAGAAGTATGATAACTAAAGGAAACTAACCGTTCCAGAAGTAATTTAAACTATTAGTTATTATTTGGAGTGGAACATTAATATAAGGAAAAATTTAGTCTTTGATAAATTATATAATATTAATAAAATATTTACATTTATTCAATCAATATGCACAAACAAGTTTTATTGACATATCAATTTTAAATATTTAAATAGAAAGTTGAAAAGGTAAAAGAAATTAAAAGCATACTGCAAAATAAAAAATAAAGAGAAAAAAATGAAAAAAAATAGTCTAAACGGGGCAGCGCGGGGCAGGGCTTAATAGGGCGGGGCGGGGCAGGGCAAAATTCTGACAAAAGGCTAAACGGGGCAGGGCAGGGCGGGTCAAAATTTTAACGGGTCAAGGCTTGCCCTGCCCCGCCCTACCCTGCCCCGCCCCATTTGCCATCCCTATTTGAGGTAACGTCTTGGACTCCCAATAAAAAGACGTAACGGTTGTTTATTATTTAATACTGTTATAAATAGAATTGTATTTATGGTGAATGTGTATATTTAGAGAGATTCTAGGTTTCATTGCTTGGTGGCTAAGTCGCCATCTCCCTATAAATAGAGGGTTCTATTCTATTGTAATTCATCCAAAAGCAATAAAAATTCTTTCCCTACTTTTCTCTGCAATATTTTTCTTCTTCTTTTATTGTTCATAACACGTTATCAGCACGAGACTCTAACCAATTGAGTAGAAGCTTTGGGATAGAGCATAATGATTGTCAATTGTTCCATGAACTTTCTTCATGATTAAATTGTGAATTTAAGGTAAGTATTTTACTTTATTTTTCTCTTTTAAACTCTTGACATTCTATAATTTGATTTTAGATACAAGTAAAGACATTAAATTTTGATTATAACTCTAATGGAGTTTGCAAGAAATTATACCCACCCGAATTGGTAAAATTTCTATGTCTTGCCATGATCAAATTCATGTATGATTGTAGGCACAAAAAGTGGAAATCCGTCCCATTGAATTTGCTTCATTCTCATTCCCTTAAGAGAATGTGGTAGCAATATGTGATAAGTTAAAAGAAGACAAAATTATTACCGTGAAGGTATCAATGGATGTGGACATGGTAATAGACGAAATTATAATCGTCATCATTGTGATAATGAGAATAATAAGGATTCTCAAAATAATCCTTCACTCTATGAAAGAAATGTTTGTCATCGAGTTGACATGAGATTTGTAAAGCACATATAAATGATTATGGTCCATTCATGATGTGAATGTGACAACATGTGATTTATTAATACATATTCATTTTTGGAAGAATATGAACGTGCTAGTGGTAGTGAATTACCAAATCACTCACCTCTAGAAGGAGGTTTGAGATGATATAAGAAAATAATGTCATTATTATGGCATAAATGGTCATTGGTCACGTACTTATTGTACGCCAAAATATTTTGGCATTGTGATTATTAAAAGACAACGGTAATGCAAGAAACAAATCTTGTATATAACTTTGACCATAACCATAATAGTATGACTTTCTCTTTTAAAAGAGATATTCACCATATGGATGTTGATGAATATGTGGTACTACAAAATTAATTGAGAACTTTGCAAGAGCCAATTATACTATTTTGGAGAAACACAATTGATTACCAATAATGTATTGTGTTGTAGTAAGTCTCAAAGAAACTTATTCAGTTTCCAAAGTATACGCGAAAGCGGTTGATTATATTGAGACTTTATAAAGGAAAGATTTAATATCTTCTATTACTACTACTTGTAGCGGGATAATATGTATGTGAAAAGTTACCCGCTTTATTCTCCAGTTTGTACTACACAAATAAAAGAATACCACACTAAAGTGGATGTTTATCGATATAAAAACCCATATCATAATAAACTTGAAGTTTATTGATAATTGCACACGTCATGGTGTAAATCTGAAGTTTTTAAAATTGATAATTTATTCAGTTGGCATAGTTGGTTTAGCCATATCAATTTAAGTATGATGTGCAAAAATAATAGAGAATTCACATGGGTAAATATTAAAGAACTAGAAAGTTCTTTACGAATTCTCTTACATTGCTTGTTCTTATTAATTAATAGACCAACTAAAATTGAGATTGAATCCCATGAATGCTGGAAATATCAAAGGTGAATATGGGCCCATTCACCTGCCATGTATACCACATAAGATGCATCTATGAGATGGTTACATGTGCGATTATTATTAACCTGCAACATGATGTTTGCGAGGTAACTTGCTCAGTAATTTGATTTAGAGCATAATTTCTAGATTTTTTATTCAAGATAGTTCATCTTGATAAGTTGGTTTAGCAAAATGATTTATTGAGTGCCCCCACTTAATAGCTAAACAATTGCTTATGAGAACAAAGTTATCTATATCAGTTTGATATACGTTATATACGAAAGTATATTATTTTCTCCACTCACAAGTGGTTCAGGGTTAAGAACAAAATAATACCATCTTATTATTATTGATGTGCGGTGTATATTTTGATTAACACCATAACGCACAAAGGTGAATTTTCAAAGTTGAGTGCAAGTTACTTTTTCTAACATGAGGGGGAGAAAGGATAAACAGTTGAGAAAAAGTTACGCGGAATGAATTATCATTTCTACATCTAGATCATCGAATAAGATAATATGAACTTGAAGTTCATAAAAAGATAATTCATGTGCAATATATTGCAAAGCATGCTAGACGCATTTGCTGACCCAAAGAAAGTAACTATATTCTCACTGCAAATGCTCCTATTAGAATAAGTCCTAGAAGGACAAAGTCTATTGTACGATTAAAGCATATAGACAAATCAGTTTCAAATAAAACTTCTTGATAAAGAAGATGAGCAAATGATCAAAACGATCATAATAAAGGAGGCAAGTGATCTAGAAGATCACATGACATAACACTTCATAAAATCTCATGAGAGATTCAGGTACCTGAATATATGAATGAAGAGATCTCTATATTATGTCTTTATGAAAAATAAGGAGGTTGGAATCGATATAAAATATTTGTCGACGACATCTATAATAGCGCTATATATATATATATATATGAGGATATTAAGTGTGGAGAAACGATTCAAGTAAAATTTGGTTTCATATGAAAGACATGTAGTTTTGGACCTGCAGTTCATACACTTGAAAGTATAAAGTCAATGGTATGTGCAATCAGTTCTCTATATCTTATATGTCTAGCATGCCATGAAAACTTGATATACATCTAAAGTCTATTATATGGCTTATATGACTTAACTTATATGACAATCCATGAAAGATTTAAGTTGCTTGAAGCATATACAATTCTTGATCTTGAAGTACCACTACCTCTGTGCAATTTGTGCACAAATGTATCTTGCTATAACTATAGGCATGATAATATGATAGCAAGAGTTTTCACCTCTATGTGAAGATATTGAAATGACGATTCCAACAAGATCATATGAAGACAATACATCTATTAGGGATGATGATTTCAAGGTGAAACAAAATCGTTCAAGTTAATATGGTTGATTTGTTCATCAAATCTCTACCAAAGATCTTTTGAAGATGGTGCACAAGATTGGAATGCAAATGCTTAAGTATGTGAATTGATGCTCTCATCAGGGGGAGTAAATATGCGTTGTACTCTTTTTCCCTTACAAAGTTTTGTCCCACTAGGTTTTCCTTGCAAGGTTTTTAACGAGGCAACCAAAAGGCGTATTGTTAGATATGTGTACTCTTTTTCCTTTACTAGAATTTTTTCCCCATTGGATTTTATTTTAGTTAAGGTTTTAACGAGACACATTATCTGTTGAATAGACATTCAAGGGGGAGTGTTATAAATAAAATTGTATTTATGGTGAATGTCTTAGAGAGATTCTAGGGTTCATTGCTTGGTGGCTAACTCATCCTCTCCCTATAAATAGAGGGTTCTATTCTATTGTAATTCATCCAAAAGCAATAAGAATCCTCTCCTCTCTCTGCAATATTTTTCTTCTTCTTTTATTGTTCATAACAAATACAAAATTTTAGACTTTTTAATAGGATTAATAATTAAATGAAAGAGGAAGTAAAATGCAATAAAAGGAGAAAAAAGATAATTATAATTGCTGGGCAGATAGAGGTGCCACATCACCTTACTAATTTCCAGCTTTATATTTATTCATAGATGCTTAATATCAAGTTATCAACTCTAAAGATATAAACTCTCAAAGCGGAGAAAAGAGTTTTGGGGATAGTTAAACCTGATCAATGATTCCATGCTTAAGCTGTTCGCGAAAAGCATCAAGTCTTTCCCTAGATATGTAGCTGAAACGATGAGCGTCATGTC